GCTTGTGTTGCTCCTCATCTTTGGATTTATTGCTATTTGGTTGAGCATACGTTGCTCATTTACTTTGGGTTCATTGCTGTCGGGTTTGAAGCTCATACATGAGCGTGCATTGCCTCGGTTTGTGCGGTTTTGTTGCTGTCAGGTGGAGCTTGTGTAGCTCCTTTGCTTTGGTTTTACTGTTATGTTTCGTTCTTGTATTGCTCCTTTGCTTTGGCTATGTTTCTGTCAGTTTTGAAGCTCATTCATAAGCTTGTGTTGCCTCGGTCGGTTGATAATGTTATTGTCATTCAGGAGCCTGTGTAGCCCCTTTGGTTTGGGTATGTTGCTGTCGGTTTTGAATCTCATTCATAAGCTTGTGTAGCTCCTTTGCACTGGCTATGTTGCTTTGGCTACGTATTTTTGGCTGTCGGTTATATTGCTATTGGGTGATAAATTGCTGGAGCACATGGTGCTCCATAGTTGATATTTGATGGGTAGCGTTTACTAAGAATGTATTCTAACTTATATTGTTTATTATATTCAGATGAGGCAATATGTGATGCGATTGTAGCCTATATTGAATTGACAATGTCTATGTGAGGCAATCCATCATTAGAATGCAATCTACAATAAACCTGTAAGTTATAGGTGAGGCATTCAATTTTGACAAATCGACCTATTCCTGAGCCCTACAATATCAACTAGAATTGGTACTCAATTCCAACAACAGTTTTAATTACAATATCAATAGTTTTTGCAAGTATAAGTATATGACATGCGGTTTATAATAAATAAAATAATATAAAATATCGCTAGTAAAATTACTAAAAATTTCCAAGCTAATAGTTGATTTTTAACAAGTCTCAATTCTTTCTTCATCCTCTTTGATTTCAAAAAGTACTTATCTACGTACCTATTTTCTTTGACATATTGGTTCCCTTGGTAGCTTATTTTTCCTCTTTCATCAGCCCATTCAAAAAAATTGCATTCTTTATTTGGGTATTTTGCACACCCCGAATAACACCTCCCCTTATTTTTGCCATTCTTGCATACTTTTATGGGTGTTTGGAGATTGCAATCGCACCAAACTTCAAAATTTTAGGGCATTCTTCTGATATCATATTGATGTCGGGAGGCAAATTACAAACTATGACAATTTATAAAAGTGGTAAGAATGAAGGATGCATTGGTATACTAAGCCCTCAAACCAAATTTATAGCCTCCAAGTCCTTTGAACTAGCTGTTGAAACTAGCCGTTGGAACTAGCTGTTGCTACAGAGTTTCGGTTTTGAATATCGTCAAACGAGTAAGAATAATTATGGTATACTCACCCTTTATCCCAAAATTTTCTCATTCCAATCCAAACTAAAGATTAGGAATTGGAGGGTTTCTATAAAGTTGGATTCCATCTTTTCATGTTATGAAATAAGCATAGAAAGAAAGAAAAAAATAGATTTCATGAATCTATAAACTTGTCTTAAAACTTTTTATGGAATAGGTAGGAATCCATAAAAAAATTGGATTCTTAATCCTATTCTTGTCCACTAGTGAACCAAACACCCTCTAAGACTGCGGGACTGCTCTCTAGATGAAGGGCTCTCTAGAGAGAAAAAGATATTTTATCATCTCATCACACTCAAAAGCAATAACATAGCTGAACAAATGCTGAACTAGAAATATCTGACTAATTGGAGCAATGCTCAATATAGTAATAAAGAAATTTTATTTAGATCTAAGAAGGCCTCAGCTCGCCCTTTTCTTTGGCAAAATAATAATAATAATAACAATACCCTAAAATTTACCCTTTTTTCTAAAAGGATGGTCTTTGTTGTAATATACTAAAGAAATGAAACGAAAGATGGACAAGAGACAAGAGAATAAGATAAATTGTAATTTTCATTTCAATCCTTTTTTCCATACATCCACCAATTTATAGATACATTGTGGAAAACAAAAAGACATTGGACTAATGAAAAGTCACCAATAAATATTCCACATTAATAAAGTAATGTCCACATTCATTTTGTCTTTTAGGTTTCCACAAAATGACTTTTGGATTTCAACACTCCCCCTTGGACATTACTTCGAGATGTCAATGCCTCATTAAAAACCTCGCTAGAAAAACCCAGTGGGATAAAAACTAGTCTAGGAAAAGAGTACACGACATTAGTAGATTCTTGTTGCATTAGTTGCCTCATTAAAACCTTTAACTAAGAAAACCCTATGGGACAAAACTTAGTAAAGGAAAAAAGAGTACAACTATAGATCTTCGGGATCCAAACTTGTGTTGCATTAGTTGCCTCATTAAAAACCTTTAACTAAGAAAACCCTGTGGGACAAAACTTAGCAAAAGGAAAAAAAAAGAGTACAACTATAGTCCTTCAAGGCGCAATCTTCGGGATTGCATTGAAAATTCGCTCCCCTGATGATGACAATCTTCTGAGTCTGCGCATTGAAAATATGACGATAGACCTTTAGGGCCCAATCTTCAGGATTTTTCTTTAAGAATTTGCTCCCCCTGAAGACGATAGTCTTCTAAGTCTGCGCATACCAATATTGTGAACATATTTCTCAAAAGTTGATGTAGGCAGAGATTTGGTGAACAAATCTGCAAGATTATCACTTGAGCGAACTTTTTCGATGGTGATTTCACCATTCTTTTGGAGCTCATGTGGATAAAAGAATTTTGGCGTAATATGTTTTGTCATGGTTCCTTTTACATATCCACTGTTCATTTGTGCAACACAAGCTGCATTGTCCTCATAAAGGACAGTGGGGGTAATATCGTCTTTCGCTAGGCCACACGAGCCACGAATGTGTCGTATCAACGATCTTAACCATACACATTCTCGTGAGGTCTCATATAAAGCGATAATCTCTGAGTGGTTAGAAGAAGTAGTCACCATGGTCTGCTTGACAGACCTCCAAGAAATGGCAGTACCACCACAGAGAAATACATAAACAGTCTGGGATCTGGCGTTATGGGGATCAGACATGTAGCCAGCATCCAAATAGCCCACCAATGTCATATCTTGGTTTCTTTTATAGAATAGTCCAAGATCTTTTGTTCCTTGAAGATAACGAAGGATATGTTTAACACCATTCCAATGTCTCCTTGTAGGAGAAGCACTATACCTTGCTAACAAGTTCACCACAAATGCTATATCAGGCCTGGTGCAATTTGCGAGATAGAGAAGTGCTCTAATGGCGCTCAAATAGGGAACTTCTGGCCCTAACATTTCTTCATTATCTTCTTTGGGTCTAAATGGTTCTTTATCCACTTCGAGGGATCGGATGACCATTGGTGTGCTAAATGGATAAGATTTATCCATATAAAATCTTTTCAAAACCTTTTTCACATAGGTTGACTGGTGTAGAAAAAATTCATTCTGGGAAAATGCTCGATCTGCAGGCCGAGACAAAACTTGGTTTTTCCCAAGTCTTTCATTTCAAACTCCGTCTTTAGGCATGAGCTAGCTTCTGTAAGCTCCTTGTGCATTCCAATAACATTTATATCATCAATATAGACTGATATAACACAGAAGCTATTTTTGAATTTCTTTATAAACACACAAGGACAGACATCATTATTTGCATATCTCCTCTTCAGAAGGAACTTGCTCAGTCAGTTATACCACATTCTACCCGACTGTTTCAAGTCGTATAACGACCTTTATAATTTAATGCTATACATGTTGCGATTCTTGTTTTCTCTTAATTCAGGAATTTTAAGTCCATCATGGACTTTCATATAAAAGACTCATATAAAAATATGATCATGACGTACATATACTGCATATATAAATTCATAGTTTCTGCCATATGTATTAACTTGCGGAACGTAATACAATCATAGAGGCAACTATGTTGTCGACAACTTTTATATTTCTATTATATATTTCTCCTTTTTCACAAATTCGTGGCCACTTCAATTCTTATTTTATGTCAACCAAATCCTCGCCATTTCCCTTAACGTTTGGATTTGGCCGTTCCGCATCTCCAGTATTGTGATTATATAGTGCACGTGCAATTTACTGGAGATTCCATCTTCAGGATGAACCTCTTCTGGAGGTTATGGGAGTGACTGTCTTTCTATATATAATTTAGTTTGCCGCGGACTTTTATCTTTTACACTAACATGTTTTATATGCTTCTGGCACAATATGCTTCTGGCATACCAAATCATCAATGATATATTCAACATGAATATGGGGCTTAGTCACTCTTTTCTTGGCAGATTATCATGTGAACTTCTGGTTCAGTTTGACTATTACGTGGATATAAATATTGAAGATCTTTTTTACCAATGAAATTTCTTGACATTATTTTGTATTTTGGGTACTAATCTCCCCCTAATGTCGAGAATTGATCTTCAATGAAAATGCAGTCAGCGTACCAAATTATAAATTGATCCCCTAACATGGGCCATAGGTACTAAATTATTGACGGAGTTTCATAAATAATGTATGTACCTTCACCGAGGTCCCATAGAGGTACGCTATGGTGGTGATATAGAAACATGGACTGCAAATAAATAATACGCAGATGGGAAATGTTTTGCTTCTACACCACGTATTAGATAAAGGGGGAAAATTGTGATATGCAGTTGGTCGGATTTGGTTTGAATGCCCCATTTAATTTAAGGAAATCCGACAAATCATATTTTGCCCAAGATGACCCAATAGCTCATGCCAGAAATTTAATAATCCTCGCAACATGGTTAGTATTAGGTCGGATATATGTGTAGTACAACCCTGAGGAGAAAGATGGTAGCACTATCTACCAAGCACAAAACTGTCTCCTTCTCCATGGGTTGTACGCGAGGAAAGTTGTGCACTATTCTAAAAATTGAAAAATTCATATAAGCACAAAAACAAGGTAAATACATAATAATTTAAATAAACCCATTCGAAATTAAAATTTTCTTACGAAAAACATGTAAAATAAGCCTAGTGAGAATACAAACAACTAGAACAAGTCTTGAAAAACTAAAATAGACTAAATAGTGATAAATAACATGATCACTCCTGGTCACCAAAATCATCAAGCTCCATCTTCAATAAGTCATCATTGTCCAGATTTAGGTTATCATCATAATTGTCATCTTTCAGGGTCATGTTTGCTTCAGGCAAACTGTCATGATGTTTTTCACCTTGTTTTGACTTCCCCTTTGAGTCCTTCAACATTCTTTGATAGGCCTCAACCAAATGTTTCGGTGTACGACATGTGCGAGACCAATGGTCCTCACATCCACACCGATAGCAAGCTTGCTTGTTATTTGCAACCTGTTGATGAGAGTTAGGCTTGTTTGAAGGAGATCTATCCTTGTTCTGACCCTTGCCACGATCCTGAAGACCATAAGCATTGCGATGACCACGACCTCTACCACCACGATAAGACCCACGACCACGTCCACGACCTCTACCATGTCCATGTCCATGAGTATTACTCTGATTTGTGGCATGTGCTTCAGGCACAACTTGCGAACCAACTGGTCTAGAATTATGGTTGCGCATCAGAAGTTGGTTGTGTTTCTCTGCAACTAGTAACGCAGAGATCAATTCAGAGTGTTTTGAATAGTTTTTGGTCCTGTACTGCTATTGGAGTACAAGATTACTTGCATGGAATGTAGAGAGGGTCTTTTCAATCAATTCAGCCTCTGTAATGTTCTGCTTACAGAGCTTCAGCTGTGAGACAATGCGGTGGAGGGTTGAATTGTATTCAGTTACGGATTTAAAATCCTGAAATCGCAAGTTTAACCAATCATACAGTTACGGATTTAAAATCCTGAAATCGCAAGTTTAACCAATCATACTGTGCTTGCGGAAGCATAATAGCCATCTGTTGGTCAAAGCGATCCTTCAGGGATTGCCATAGAATAGCAGAATCTTTTTCAGTAAGGTACTCATTTTTCAGGTCTTTGTTGAGATGATGACGAAGAAAAATCAATGCCTTTGCCTTCTGGGCAGAGGTGCTCTGAGAAGCTGGATCAATAGTGCTGCTTAAATCACAAGAATTCAGGTAGATTTCAATATCTAAAGCCCAAGTCAAGTAATTGCTGCCATCAACGGCAAGCTCAGCAAATTCCCTTTTGATGATGTCAGACATTGTTCAGAAATGCTATAATTATCAAAAGAAGATATATCAATCCACCAAATTTATAAAATATTACACTATACAAGATGTGCATACAAACAGAAGTGAATAAATAAAGGAGCCACAATGCATGCCTCTGTTCTAATTAGCTAGGACAAGTAATCACAGAATGTGTGCATTTGTAAATTGTATTAAACCAAACTGAGTGAGTAATTAAGTGGGATCATCTTCAAGGGGTGTCCTTTTAATGTGTAGATAAGAAGTGATCATATCATAACCAAGGACCAATGTCCAAAGATACCCATATTCTGGGGACTATATCAAGAAATGAGTCTAGTGTATAACAGAGTTCATCTGGTGACTATATTGATATTATTCGTGTAGTTTGCATAAAAGAAAAATAAATTAATAAGAGCTATCGAATGATTCATATAGACTATCAATAGTTACAGGGGCATTTAGCATGATTATTCTAGAGTCTTGAACCTTATTCATGCTGAAACAAAATAATCAAATGTACTTAGTAACCAAAAAATCATTTATGTATGCACTATACTTTCAAGAACATCAAAATTTATATGAAACGACATGGAAGGAGAAGTCTATTAATGTATATGGCTACAGTTAGTCTCGAGAAATAGAAAAACAATAAAAATAAATATTGGCCATGAACTTTCATTTATTTACAGCTACTGCCCTGAAACTTGCACGGGGACAAATTAGTTCCTGGGGCTATGCATAATTCATTTCTGCCTAAGCAACTAATGAACTAATAATAAAAGAAGTATTTATGTAAAAGAAAGTATTTATAAAACATGTAATCTAATCATGAAAACTTTTGGATATAGTCATGAAATAAACGGATTTGAGAGTTTATAGATTAATCGGGTGTAAGATAGCACAACCACTCATAAATGAATGGAAGAATTTGTAGCCAAAGAATCATAGATGAACTAATATTAGAACAAATGATGAATAAATAAAACCCAAGAGAGAAGTGAACACTGGCCAATTATGAAAGACGAGGCGATCATGAGAAAATAAAAAAATTGAAGGATAAGAAATGCTTACAGAAGATGTATACCGAAAAATCTATTACCACGAACCGATGATCGACCAGCTAGAGCCACTCGTGCTGATAACGTGTTATAATATACTAAAGAAATGAAACGAAAGATGGACAAGAGACAAGAGAATAAGATAAATTGTAATTTTCATTTCAATCCTTTTTTCCATACATCTACCAATTTATAGATACATTGTGGAAAACAAAAAGACATTGGACTAATGAAAAGTCACCAATAAATATTCCACATTAATAAAGTAATGTCCACATTCATTTTGTCTTTTAGGTTTCCACAAAATGACTTTTGGATTTCAACAGTCTTCTTTTAATAAAGAAGTCTTTAAATTTCACCCACGTTTAAGACGTTGTCATCTTTCTTTATTTGATCAGAAAGCGTGTAAATTTCAGTTCAATTTTCTTCTTCTTCTTCTTCATTTTTTCCCTTCTAATTATTCTACCATTTTTTCATCATCGGCTGTCCATTATACTTTCATGACACATGGTAATTTGGTCCTTATATATACTAGTATTTACACCCGTGTAAAGCATGTGTTTTAAAAGATTTTATGCAAATATTGAACATGTTACCAAAATAAAGTATTCTGCTTTAGATATGAAGTATATGAGTTCTATTTGCTTTTTTATTATTCGTTCAGATATTCGATCAAGTTTGATTCAATAGTTCATTTAGTACTAAACAAATAATTTTTAGTGTTTGGCTTATAAATGAATACAATTTAACCAAATGTATGTTTGATTCGGTAGTTCATTAACTATTCAATTCGATAACTTTTTAATATAATTTAACCAAATGTATGTTAGAAAATTCATTAACTGTTCGATTCGGTGGTTCTATTAATTGAACTTATTGAAATATTACTTATATAAATTTTTATTTACAAATGCTACCCATATAAATAGGTAAGAGTGGGTTCTAGGGCTAGAAAAGCTAAAATATTAAAGTTCAAAAAGTGGAGTGAGTCAATTGTGTGGAAAATTGAGCAAATATTTACTAAATTATTCTAAAAAACCTCTATTCCTCTTCGTGGCCTGATCATCAAATCGTAATTAGGATGGTGTGCTTATTGGTAATCAAAAGTAAACTCAATATAAATCTATTGTACCATATGAAATAGTCCTAAAATCTTTGAGAGAAAGTTCAAAGGTTGTTTTGAGAATTGCATTCAATTGTATGAGATGTTATAAAGCTAAAAGGCTGTACAATTATTCATATTTAGTTTCACATAAAAATGAATAATTGTATAACTACAAATACAATTGTCTGAGCATTTTTATGCATGTTTCTTACACACAATGAGCCTTTTGAATATTGCTTCAACAAAATAAACAATTTGTTCGAGCATAAAACTTTGATTAAAAAGATTCCTCCAAAAACTTACATAAAAATGTTACTTAATAAAGAATTTATACAATTGAATACTACGTATAACTGCAAATACAAATATCAAAAATAATATACATGTGGTTATGATAGTTTTATAATTACCATATGTTACGAGGTATCCCTTATTCTTCACGAATATACTATCCCGCGAGCCGTCACTTCCTCAGTTGAGTCGGCTTCATTCCTCAAAGACGACTCGAAAGGTGGACTCAGTCGAACCTCTTCATAACAAAAGATTGATGCTTAGCAATTAGCTGACACTCCTCCCAAGGGCGGCTCAGAATATTTCTTCTCAGTATTATTTAACATTTTATGATCATCATTATGTCTCCATCCTCAGCCGTCTGAAACCTTGTCGGCTGTTGGTTCCCCACGTCACTGAAGTGACTTCTCACCCCTCATCGACAAACCTCGACGGTTGCGGATTCCCTACGTCACTGAAGTGATTTCTCACCTCTCACCGACAAGCCTCTGTTAGACCCTAGAGGGGGTGGGGGGGTGATTAGGGTCTTATGCTAATCTAATCTGATTTTATGCTAATTAAAATTATATTGATTAATTTGTTCTTGCAAGAAATGATATGAGATAGATATGAACAATAAGGATATGAAAAGCCACAAATAAAATATACGCTAATCAAAACATAAGCACACGATATGTTTACGAGGTTCGGTCACCACGACCTACGTCCCCGCTCCTCATCTCGAGGAGATCTCCACTATCACAATCCGGTTGGAAAGCCGGAACTTCTACACACCCGGTTTACAAGTTTACGGAAAACTCTCACACAACAAACACTATGCAATCACACTTTACACACTAAGTGTAGGAACCTAGCCCGTGTCCTCCTCCTCAAGTGCTCGGATGCAACCTCTCCCTAGGTTCGTCAACCAACATCACTCCTATTGGATTTGACCCCGTCTCACACCTCACACTTCTCTCGGTGTACAAGTGTATTACAAGTGATACTCACAACAATGGTTAAATACAATGGTTTGTTCTCGATAACAAATGAGAACACAAATAAAGCTCACACTCACTAAATCACACACCACTACCCATAATATATAGTATGAAATATTAAGCTCAATACAGTGTGTGTGATAACAGTGAATGAAAATACATAACTCAATAAATATAGCTAAGTTATGAAAATAAAATTATAAGCTATATGAAAAGATGAGTTAGGAAAACTTCTCAATAAACAAGAGGAACAGTAGAGGATGATGAGGATAGGATCCTCAGTTGAATTGAATGCCTCTTCTTGTTGTAGAAAACTTTGTTTGAAACAGATAATTAGAATCAGCTTAAACAGCTCTTTTAAACACACTTAAGATTTTGTTAAAACTTCACTGTAAAAACAAAACTTGGTTGTTGAAAGAGAAGAGCAATGGGGTATTTATACCCACTCAAAATATCGGCCAAAACCAACTTGAAAAGACCAAAATAGCCCCAGAGAATCAAATCAGAATATAGCCGTTGAGAAGGCAATGATGAGTTCGACGATCGACCGTGGGAATCTCGCGGTCGACCGCGAAGCAGAAAAAAACAGAAAAAAGAATTTTATAAGTTGGCGGTCGATCGCAACGGTGAACCACGAAAGTCTCTGGATGGAGCCACGGTCGATCGTCACGGTCGACCACGATCCAATAAAAGCCAGACTGAGAAAATTAACTACTGGCGGTCGATCGTGACGGTCGACCGCAAACTAATACATGTCAATTGACAGGTTTTGGGTTGATTTTGAAAATACGTTAAAAATATCAAATTAATTCCAAAAATAGTAAAACTTTGGGGAAAGTTTCTAAATGATAAAATAAACAAGTTTGAAAAGGAATTTTTGGAAAAGTAATTTTTGTTTGTGAAAACTCACTGTTTTTAAATATATAATAAAGTGTGAATGAGCTGTAAACATGAAATAAAAACTATTATAATAAAGTTTGATAAAAATTTATTTATATGATAGAAAACGTCAAATCTGTGTTAAGTGTTCATATATTGAGCTTAAATATAAACATACAATATATGTAAGCAAACTACTCTTATACCTAGGTGAATGCACACACATGAACTGGAATCTTTAACTCTTGATTGTCATGTGTTGAATTACCTGTAAGGAGAAAAACCAAAACAACAAAGACTAGAAAACATATTAGCTATAAATTATTTGATAAATCATCATCAAAACTATAGGGTCAACAGCCTCGACGGTTGCTGGTTCCCCATATCACTGAAGTGACCTTCCATCACTCATAAGTCGACGCGTATAGAGCAGAGGGTAACTCAGCCTCTAGCTCACCCCTCACCACCACCTTAAACCGCACACTCTCGAAGTGTCTATTCTGCCCTTGGCATCCTCTATAAATACAGACGCTATTTGCCATAAAAACAGGTTCGGATTTTCTTACAATAAAAAGAAACTCTCCAAAAACAACACAATTTTGGGG